GAGAGAGAGAGAGAGAGTCGTAAAATATGTTAGGACTCCCTGGTGAAAACATTCTGTAGGTTGTACCCTGCAGGCGCTAGGCTGGCACGGTGACCAGGCGACTGGTGTACGCAAGAGCACTTGACCGCTTGTTCAACCGTGTTCGATTGGGAATAAGGGCCGAACGCTGCATTGCATCCTTTTCGGACCAAAACCAGTCGACTCAGCGTCCAAAAGACTACAACATATGGGCCCATCGCGGTCATCTGTGCTTTTATAATAGGCGATTCACACGACAGGCAAATCCACGTTTAACAGGAAAGTCACCGTGGAGATATTCCTGCGGGCGACCAAAATTTGCCCGCGGGAATCAAAAGTGTCCATGGCCTTTTTGCCCGCGGATGCACTCACCTGCGGGCACTTTTACAGTTATGAGGCTGTGAGGTCGTACTAGCGTACGGTAGTCTTGAACCCTGGTTGTTTGGCCTTTGTCTTTGGGTACTCATTCCAAATCACCACAGTAACGCAGAACATGTAAATACTGTATAATGATGATTCGTTTTATATATGTGTTGATTCTTCACAAAATGTGTTATTTTGCCCGTACAGGAGGCTCAGTTTTCCGTGTGACAAAAAAAAAAAAAAAAAAAAACGCAGTACATGTATACTCACCGGATACTCGCGGGAGCTCTGGTCGCCACCCGCGACCGTGTGAAACTGCAGCCTCACGTTTCATTTCCTGCGGGCACCTGACAAACGTGGATGTTTAGGGTTTTACGTCGGGCCCTAGACGACGGCTACTTTGGCCAACCGGACAACGAAGAAATTGTGACCAAAGAGAATGATTTTATTTCTTGCGCATGCGTTTGTGGAATGACGTAATACTCAGTGAGTGAGGTCGTTAGAGTACTCCCCCGCCAGTGGTGAGGTCGGGAGGAGCGAAGCACGATAAACAAGAAACAAGAAAGAGAAGAGAAAGGAAACGCAGCATGTACAAGGCGGAAAGACAAATATATAATAATATGATACATATGTACAAGCGAGAGCGCTGTGTGTGTGAAATTTGTTAAACAACGTGTCACAAATGCCGAAGCAATAATCAGAAAAGCAGGAAAGAGAGAGATGCATGACAGAGGCGGGTTAACGTGTCAGAGGTGTGTTAACGTGACAGAGGTGGAGAGCATGTCAGAGGCAGAAAGACAGAAAAGAGGAAATGTACGCATGACAGAGGAGTTTTATCTTTTCAGAGGCGGAAAGAAAGGAAATGTACGCGTGACAGAGGAGTATTATCATGTCAGAGGCGGCTGCATGTTGCAGGCTTGGGGGGATACCAGCAGGAGCGCTGCACTTGGGCGAGGCGTGCCGAGTGCGGCGGGGACAGATGGAGGCGAGTGCAGCTCCATGGCGTCCGGTGCCGGGCGTTTGCCTGCGTGCGTGCACAGTGAGGGAGCTGGTACGACGGGTGGAGGTGGCCAATTTCCAGCTTGAGGCCGGGACGAATACGGACGATGACGACTGGACGATGCCGTGGCAGGATGGCGGGGTATCCAGGTGGGCCGGGGAGGGTGGCAGGGGCCACAGCAGCTCCGAGGCGGATCCAGTGACGAGTGGTGGTGAGGCTCAAGTTTTACGTCAACAGCCGGCGATTGACGGGATGCCGAGAGTTGAGGCGAGCAGGAAACTGCGGCGGGCCGAGCTCAGGGATGGCATGCTCAAAACTCCGAAGAGCGCAGCATCTGGGGTCACCAATTTAGAGTTTTACGTCGGGCCCTAGACGACGGCTACTTTGGCCAACCGGACAACGAAGAAGTTGTGACCAAAGAGAATGATTTTATTTCTTGCGCATGCGTTTGTAGAATGACGTAATACTCAGTGAGTCAGGTCGTTACAGATTTGCCTGTCGTGTGAATCGCCCATAAGAACGAAATGGCGCTTTTAGTGAAATTTTGCATACAAATCCCCATCTACAGTAGAGTCGCGCGCCCAAGAACGTTGTTTCCAAGGGGTTAGCCTGGGACGTTCTTATTTTTCATGAAATCTGGCTACGTTCTTATAGCACGGTCTTAGAAACAATCCGTACTGGATCATATGTATCCCACAAGATGCCAGAAAACCAACACCGCCGTTCTTAGCTGTAGACTGTTGCGTTCTTAGCATTTCAGGCTGGACGTTCTTGGGCTCCACGTTCTTCAGCGCGCGACTCTACTGTAGTAGGGCACAGTCACCCAGTTTCGGTGGAAGTGCGCGGGTTCGATTGGGATTAAAGTAGGAAGGGAGCGTCTCAGCTTCTTATTCCTCGGACCAAGACCATTCGACTCAGCACCAGACTGCATGGTGAAATTTTGATTCTAGCCTTAACTTCCCCTTTAACGACCATTTTTTAATGCACGGACAGCTCTGCACTGAACTTGTTGGACCTGGTTCTAAAGACCACCTGGCCTTAACGACCGCTTCCAACATGACAATGGGAGAGAGTTTGTGAACGAGATTGTCACTGAGTTAGGGGTGATTATATGTGCAGCTCTAGCCTGGGCTGCTCGACAGGCGGGCCGGCCCACCTGCAACGGGATCTCGGGGTTGTACACAAATCCACACAAAACCTGTGGTGCGTTTATAGGCTATTCAGTATTCATACTACATTGTGCGTTACAAAATGCGTCACGTTTTGGAATACGACGTACTGGCAGACGTCGTTTCCATGCAGGTGCATTCACACAGGCACGCACACGCTGCTCGTACAGCTGTGTGTACAGCTTCTTTTGGACACAAACTGCTGGGAACGACAGAACGAAACTCGGTACAGGGGTCTGGATACGTCGTCTATCAGGGGTTCGATTTTCCCGCCACGTTCCATGTTGTCATGGCTATCCCGACGAAAACCTCACATATGCCACGTTATGGGAGTAGTGTGAATGGCCCATTACATGGCAAGCGGGCTGGCCCGGCAAGGCGGGATCCCGCCTTGAGGCACCCGGGATCCCAGCTAGGCGGGCCAGAGAAAGCACATACATGAATATACAGACCAGCCCGGGCCAGAGTTGTATTATTATGGTGTCGACACTGCGTTCATGCTACAAAATAGGTACTTTCACCTTTTGAGGGAAGCTATAAAGAGGATTCCCGATATTGTCTTGAAAATCTATGAAGCTTTACAATGAAATGGAATGGAAACTACTTGCAAAATACTTTGATATGGACAGCTAAAAATGTGAAAAACAGGAAAAAGAAACGAGATGATACAACACACCAAACATGTGCCACAGCGCGAAAAGAAATATGCAGAAAAAAACATTGTGTGAGAAAAAATGTGTTTAGGTTTATAACCTGAGTATGGCTTGCAGCCCTGCGTTTCAGCCCGCATCAGCACACTACAGTCGTAGTGTGTTTGCTGCATACTCACTGCGGGCTGGCGTGTGTTCAGCACATTTAAACTCACTGCGGGCTGGCGACCAGCCCGGCCTTGCACATGTAAACACGCTTGGCGGGCTGGCCCGCTCGCTCCAGCCCGGGCTGGCCCGCTCGCTCCAGCCCGGGCTGGCCCGCTCGCTCCAGCCCGGGCTGGCGTTGCACATACATGTACTATAGGCCCCTTAGTAAACTCTTGGCCAGGGGAGACTGCCATTGTCCCTGGACGACCTCGTCATCCACAAAGTCATAACCTCATGAATCCCGGTTTTATGATTGCACAACCGTTGCACCATCACCTACTCACACAGTAAGCATGCTACACTAGGCACCGTTCAACTGCACAACCCCTAAAAATAGTAAGCAGTCAAATATAAGCAGTCAATGTAGGGCTAAGGAGTGAATTATGCAGGAATATTTGACTGCTTAGGTATAGCGAAAATCAATGGGAGTCAATACTAGGAGAGCGATAAGACATTGGAATGCTGCGGCCAGAGACGTGTGGTCCGCGTCTAACGTAAAAGTGTCGAGAAAGACGTCACCGCATGTACCTGGCGTTTTGTTGTTGAGGATGCGCTCCTAGGAAGCCATGGACAGAAAAAGAGGCAAAGGTAAATCACAAGGCAGCAGTGAAGGTGAGGACAGCAACAACGACATAGGCCAATGACCCCACATGAAAATCGGGAGAGAAAAAAAAACAATCAAAAAACATCCGACCTGAATACTGCGGGACCATCATCCACCCGCGAAAAGCCCTTCAAGTTACCACTGCCGTAAAGAACCGTTGATCCGCCCCCTCTCTAATTCCCCCCCCCCCCCCCCTGTCGATTTTCCACCTGTGAAGCGACTTCAGCATATACAGCGAGAATACGATGTTGAACCGACGCATGCACTGCTGTACGCAATATCTGCCAATCCAGGATGAAAATGTGCACAATCCAGCACATCGAGTCTTAACTTCTACGTTGTTGTACATCGTACTGCACTTGACAGCCTTGATCTAATTCCCGCCCCCTGCTGAAAGACCAGCTGGTAAGCGACATGGCGTGGGGGCGGATCAATGGTACTTTACGGTAATAATAAAAAATTAAACCTGTTCCCAACACTCACTGGAGACAGACCATTACAACGCACGGGTAATGGTCCCCCCCCCCCCCCAGCCCGCCGGGTAGACCGTGGCTCACCATGATCGGACGCCCACCACAGCGAACCGGTGGGACCCACAGGACCGACGACACACAAACAAAGGAAAGTACGCTCACCGAAACGTGTGCTGACGTACTTCTTTACACCACTACCGTATTTCCCCGTAAGTTAGTTCTCCCCAATGACTTAGTACCCCCCTACAAAAAATACACTTTCCACTGCCGAGGTTATCACCCCGAAAGACAGTTCCCCCCGAAAGATTGTAAGTTCGTACCCGTCCTACATGTACAGACACCGTACAGTACATACGTCATATGCACGGACACTAGAGTTGCGCAGGCTTCCCACTGCGTGTCATTTACCCCCGATAGAAAAGTACTCCCCGAAAGATAGTACCGCCCCCGGAAGTTATTACTCATGTGGCTGCTAAGTTCGAAAGTTAGTACGTACTAACTTACGGGGAAATACGGTAATCAAGACAACTGAGCATAGTACAGGGAGTGATTCTTGGTGTGGACTGCAACAAACGACCGCCCGCATCATCGCCGATTTGAAGCGCGCCTGGTTGACAGGGCGAATTGAATTCTCTCACGCAAACGTATGGCATCACCACTCCTATATTGATAGGCGCTTCAATGTCCTCTGTATCGTACTCCTTGTGATTGATTGGGTTGTTGGATTAGTTTAAAAAAGTAATAATGAAAATGTTTGATAACCGCAATCAATAAGACAAGCTGAATCGACATTGGTGTACACTTCATTCATGCAATGCACAACTGACGAGACAATGTTCATTCAGTCTTATTGATTGCGTTTGTCAAATTATCGTCTCCTCGCCGTTTGTTCAAATAAAAAAGTTCTTTGGCGACCAACAGTTCAGTAGTATCTGAGCAACAAGGGTACTTACGGCTGAGGAAACTGTACGGAACGGGTGCGGCGGCGGACCAGAATAAATGCAATGGCGAGTGCCACCAGAAAACAGCCTGCAGCCGCCGCTATCAGCCACAGGTAATTGCTGTTTCCCTTGCTGGCGCTGACACCGGTCGGGTCTGTCACAGATAATCACACAAAGTACACAACGTGCACGCAGAAGATTAAACTTAGAGCAATTGCCGGGCGGCCAGATCAGTTTGTCATGTGAATAAATTTGTGCAGAAAGTGATCATGTCATGTGGACAGTGGAACCAACATGGCCACCGACGTCATGTGACCCATAGATGCGGGGTTGAGTGGAGTTGAAAACAACATGGCTGCCCTGTATGGGCATGTGATAGATGTGAGACCACTCTATACACCCCCCCCCCCCCAAAATAGTTTATAAGTGGTGAAAAGGAGAACCCCTGGTTTGAGTACAAGCCTGGCGTGAATAGAATTCTAACCCCCGACATCGACTGATGGGAATAGAATCCTAACCTCCGAAATCAGCTTCTACAGGAAGAAGTCTGGTTTTAATACACGACTGCCATTGCGGTATGTATTATGTAAAAAATCGCATTCAAGCGCACGTGCTTTCTTTCCCCCAAAACACGGTTGTCTTCTCCAGATTTGTCTTCCCGCTAAAAGCAAAGTGGCACAGTGAGACTGGAAATGTGATGCCGGAAATGTGATACCGGAAATGTGATACCGGAAATGTGATACCGGAAATGTGATACTGGAAATGTGAATTCTGTTCATCTACAAGCCCATGCGCATATATGTCAGGGGTATGCTTATAACCGAGTATATAAGCGTGGATACGGTACGTTGCCAAGGAACTCCGATGTGGCTACCACGCCCAGACAAGACAGCACTCCAGAGCGGCCTCATATGTGGAAAATACGTTACACGTCATTATTTATAGAAAAGGACCAAGGAACTACAAGTTACGCTAAAATGTCCACTAACACCACTGACATCACGTGGTCATTTTCCTTTTCTATAATAATTTATTCCTTGGCTCTCCATCCGAGTCCATTCTTGCACACCTGATGACATCGTTGGCGTCTCCGTAAATTGCTGGAATCAGAGAATGGCCTGCAGCGTGCATCACAGTTGAATGGCTGGCTGTCCAGTACGAATACGTTTGTAATCTTATAAACTGTCTGATGGATTGAATGACTGGCTGCACACATCACACTTTGTACTTCACTCAATTCGTTGTCCATTGACCAATGTGAGGTATGCAGCTAAGATGGCCGTCACCTTTTTGCGGGGCAAGTTACCCCATACTTGGCAGTTACAACCCGTTATAGTACATTTATAAGTATGACGTCACAAAGTTCATGACCTTTTATGCAGAGTTGGTATAACAGGGTGTACCCTTGTAGTGGACTTGCCCCGTAAAACCTAATGGCGGGAAATGGATGCATACAGACGTCTCATTGGCACACACCATGCCAGAGAGTGCGGTGACAACTTAGCCAAACACTGCACTGACTAGATCATTGTCAAGACAATTCATTACAATTTAAAGTCTTGTAGGACGCACCATGCTGCTTTAGAAGTAAAAATTTGGTTGTGAGCAACGCTGGCTCACACTCAGTCACTGCTTTTCACCAGAATTTTTTTCTTTCCTGATGATGGTTATTTCATGACCGAAACATTGAAATAAATTTTTTTCTGGTGAAAAGCAGTGATTGAGTGTGAGCCAGTGTTGCTCACAACCAATTTTTTATTTAATACAAGTTTTTTATATTATTTACGACTGGCACTCACCGGCTTTGTTGAACAGAGCGAGTCCAGCTCTTGTCGTGCTGTTAGGCAGACCGGTCGTCGGCAAGCTGTCATTGTATCCTCTGTCAATGGCACCTGCTGTGTGGGCAGATTCTGAGTCGGTTTCATTCTCCAGGGATGTAGTGGGTGGAGAAGTTGCTTGCGTGCCGTTCAGTGTGGTGGTTTGAGTGCTTGGAGCTTTGGTTGTTGCTGGGGTGGTGATTGCTGGGGTGGTGGTTGCTGGGGTGGTGGGTACTGGGGTGGTGGTTGCTGGGGTGGTGGGAGTAGTCGTTGGTGGGGTGGTGGGAGTAGTTGTTGGAGGAACCACTACATGAAAATGCAGAAAATTAAAACAAATTAAACACAAGCGTTAGGAGGAAACACAAGAAAAAAATCAGATTGCACCTACAGGCTGTGCCAATGATTTTTTAGCGCATTTCCTAATGGGCGCTTAGCACACAGTGTGATTCAGCGGATTTTGGAATAGGCGCTAAGTCTGCGGCGTGAGTCACTAGTGTACTTACAGCTCCGCAGCTTTGACAGCTCCCCACCCCCAGTCCGCGGCTTCGCCGCAGCATCTCAGCTTTAAGGTCAACGTACACAATTATGACCCCATCCGACAACAAGGGACACACAAATAATCGACACAGAAGAAAGTTGCCCATCTTCGCTGTTTTAGCTATTTTTCTTTGCCCAATATCATCATCTGTCTACTGTACTAAATCCATTGTCATGGTTCCGTGTCTGTTTCCTGTTTTCACTTGATAAGAAGTATTGACAGAACACTGTACTCGTGCGATTAGTACCGCTTGTGTACTATTTTGTCAATGTCCATCACAGATGAGGCACTATTGAAGAGAGGGCATAACGCTGGTTTATTTATGTCATCCCTCATAAAACAAAGAAGGCAAAGAAAAACAGAACCTAAAGTTTACAGTAAACTATCACGATTTAACAGAAAGGGCAACCAGAACTACGATTTTGATCCTACAACCACCAGTTCAATGACTTGGACAAGAACATTAGCAAAAGAACACGAAACTTGCACATGCGCTTGGTTACAAACCGGGGGGGACTATTCAAGAGTGGGCTTTATTCGTTCACTCACTCCTAGAGACTGTGGCTCTATTCGAGATAGGGCACGTTTCAAGAGAGGCTATAATCACGCAAGTAAGGTACTTTTGGAAATTTCAAAATGGTGAACCTGAAGGGAGTCATTTTCCAAAGCATTTCCAGCAATTTCGTCTGAGGAAATTATTTGTGGAGATAGTATTCTTAAAAAATGGAATCAAGGGGTATGGCAAATGCAGATACCAGAACCTAACATTTTGTTTTTCTTCATTGGCATCTGGCGCTAGCCAGCGTCCACGGCCCTTCATTTGTATCTGTGCGTGTGTGCGTGTGTGTGTGTGTGTGTATGTGTGTGTGTGTGTGTGTGTGTGTGTGTGTGTGTGTGTGTGTGTGTGTGTGTGTGTGTGTGTGTGTGAGTCTGTGTGTGTATGTGAATATGTAAAATTGGTAGGACCACGTATTGTACTTGCCTGGGACTTAGAATTTTGAGTGAAAATTCGAAAATAAAAATTTAACGCGGCCGAATGTGTTTTAGCCCTTGGAGGCCGAAATTTGCATCGGCCGAACATTTGCCGACTCACGGTAGTCAGGGCTCCGAGCTTTCAAGTTCTCTTGTTTCCAGGCGCCTTTTTCCCTAAACATGCACACAGTTGTACTCACTCGCATCGCAGAAAGGTACTGAAGTGAGCGTTCCATCTGTTTGGCAAGTTACCGTCGAATTCCCCACTAGTGGGTGACCGTTGTTGCAGGAATAACTAACATCTTGCGTAAGTCGGACCGACTTCTTGTCGGCTTTTCCATCAGCAATAGCAGGCACATCGCAGTACAAACCTGTACGCAAGAAAGGAAAACATGATTGTTTAAGAAAAGATCATCTTTTGTATTTTCATGACATGATTGCATCGGTTTATTTAAAAAACGTTTAAGAAAAAAGATATAGATCTTTGATAAATACCCACACTCCTTAGTGACCACACCATTACCACCCTCGCACAGAATTAGAACTCAAATTCAAGAGTATCCGTGTTATCTCTTTCTCTCTTTGGCGTTTCATCCGACACACTGTGGCAAAGCTTGTTCTAGCTGCTTTCCAACTAGCCATCACTCAAAGGACAATGGAGTTACGACAATTTGCGCTTCACAAGCTGAAATTAAAAAATGTATAATGCTCATCTTCAGAAATGCAGCTATACATAGAAAAACAGATTTACTCGTCTTTCGATCATCTAAGCTGCTGTCCTCACCTTTAACACAGATGATGGCCAATGGGTTGCTATAATATTGGTCGCCAACTCCTTGAATCCAAACATTATTTACATGCGTTATGGCCAGTATGCGCAGGAATGAACCAAGACATTCGTCTGACCTCGACTTTGGAAGGGACATCTGTGCGTCTTCACATCGTTTCTTGGCATCATTATGGTTTGCAGATCTTGCATTCATGACATGGTAAAGGTCATAATTACGACACCTGTGCACCATTGCTCGTCCTGTATGAATACAGAAATGAAGCCAGGTATACACACATACATACTGTCAGAAAAAGTCAGAGCATTAGAACACTTGCCCTGCATCTATACAACACATAAACCTGTGATCACTCTGCGCTGGGCCCTCGGGTTTTTTTATACCTATGTTTCGCGTCGTTCGGGCGCATATGTTTCGGAGTCTTCTTGGAAAAAACCGACCATGCATCCCTTACACATGCAGTGAGTGTAAGATCGTGCGATTCACTGACATCATGCGCGTGGATTGGTTGCGTCAGTCGAAGCATGGATTCAGAAATGGCATCGAGGCCAGTGTTGGTAAGTCGTTTGATCAGTAACTGTGATCACTCCTGGCCAGGACTTAAAGGGCTCAAATCGTCAGCTGCCATTTCCTTGCTTAAGCTGTGTTCCCAAGTGGCACGTGGACGCGGTACGCGTGCGATTTATGCGTGCCGAAACGCGCTCTCAAGCTTTCACAAAAAGAGCAATCCGAGTCGTATTTAGCGCGTGCGACACCTTCGAGTACTAATTTGTTGACCCCGCCAGTCAAAGTGACTGGCATGTACGCTGGTACGCGTCTGATACGCGCTGAAAATTCCAACATGTTGGAATTTCCATTTCGGCGCGTTTCCGTACGCATGGCGCCCCAAAAGCCAGCAAAAATACGCACAAACGCGTGGTTTCACGCGTACACGCGCAAGCTGTGAACACAGCTTTAGACAAAATTCATGATAGTGAATGGAAACGTAAAATGTTTGGCACCTATGTAATCAGGGAATGGCCCATGCCACAATACATTTCCTTGCTCGTATCGATATTTGCGAGGACTCCCATTACAATCCATAACGATCATTTGAATCTGGTTTCCATGGCAGGGGTCGCGCAAAATGGAAAATACACGTTTCGGCGTGTCGAGTCGCATTATGTCAACAACCGGTTGTCGTATCGCTTTGGGGATGTTTCTATACAAATTGTGCGAATCGAACATGGATTGACTGAGTTATGATAATTTGAACGAGCCACTAGGGACTCAATACGGACCCACGACTATGGGATGCACGTTCGCTGTACAGCGTTAGACCAGTACGACGGGCGTGGGACACGCAACTCGTCTGCGTCGTACTAGTGCGACGCTCACGCTAAAGAGTTTAAGCGCTTAGAACCCGGGTCTACCTCAGCAATTAAACCAGTCATTGTTCTTACGTTTTACACAGATGACGGAAACCGGTTCATCAGCCAGTGCTGGTCTCATCAGTAAGCCAAGGTGACCCACTGTATGACCGTAATTTACACCCCGAGCGGCCCATGTGCCATAGATCCAAGCCGGTCTTACTCCACGTTCTGTGATAAACCGGAAAAGGCAGTCCTGCAAATCTTCCTCTGGCAGGGTCATGCCTTTCTTGGAACATTGTGCTTGAGACGAAGACTGAGTGTAGTCAGTAGAGCTTGGCTTGAGAAGGTACAGGTCGTAATAATCACCACATTCATACTTCACATCATTCCAAGTGCGCTCTGCACAGAGATGAACACAGTGAATTGACACATTCCACCAAAAAGAATGTGTTATTACAAAGTCACGGGTCATGAACTCGGATGTTGAGCCAAAGTTAACATGGATGAAAAGAAAGGAGAACAAGTTACAAGTTATGACTAACTGTCCACCAAAATGCACATGTCAAATGTCTCAGTACTCCTTGTCAGTTCATGCGTTTTTGTCGCACTCGTTGACTGTATATGATCTGGTGACGTCAGTGAACAGTTAGTCATAAATCGTAACATGTTGTCCTTCTTTTTGCCTGAAGTGTGTCCATTTTATGAGTATTATCGAATTTTGTCCTTTATGTATATTAGTGCTGATGCCCAGTCAGAAATTTCCAGTTTGTAGCCTAACCGGCACACGCAGTTGCTTCTGACGAGGGAGGGGGAATTCCCCAAAACACTGAGCAGGGAGCGGTGATTTCTTGCAGGTTTGCTCAGTGGACGGTTCGACGGACGTCTCGTGTGATCTGGATGGCAGTCGTGAGTCAGTCAAATGAGAATCCAAGTCGTCAGGAATAACACAAGCTCCCACGTAGAGAGCAACACACAACTACCCAGGTATGGCCGAAGTCGCACTAACCTCTTCTTCAAAGGAACATTCTTACCAAATGTAATGGTAATCCATACAGCAGCTTTAATTTTGTTTGATCCCTGGAATACATGAATTTTCCCCCAACTGAAAGAAAGTGATTAATTTTTGAAAGTATCGGGAGAACTTCAAATTTAAAGGATCAGTCGGTTAAGTGAACTGGAATGAAAACTACAGAAAGAATAAAAGAAGCAAATTGGTTGTACGCTGCGAGGCTTCTTTTATTCTTCGCTTTGAAGCCCTTCTTGGTACAGAGGCCAGCATCTATCACGAAGTAGAACACCCGGTCGACATTTTACGCAGGAGCAACCGCCTTGAATCCACCCAGTGAATCAAGCATAGGGTCGTACTCTTGTCCACATATCTTTGCTTCCCAAACAACGTTACTTGATCCAGCTTCATAACTCGGCACTTGTGCTTCACTAGTCGCACCTGCGGCAGCAGCAGCAGCAGCAGTCTGCTGCGACTGTTCCAAGCGGTTCATACTCGCAGGATTCAACTACAAACTATCCCGGCCGACTTCTCAATCGAATCAAGAGCAAGAAATAATGCAAAAAAGCCACTCACGTCACTCTTCTATAATGTAGCTTTGATATTCTTGCTGTGCTACCTCAGCCTGCACCAACATGGCCGCCCACCCTGCAATTACGTTATGGCACTCGGGGTCTGCGCTGCTTTGGCGGGATGTGCAACCATTCGACAAGGCGGTAAATACGCGCCCGACCACACATGTTCTCTAGGCTGCAGCGTTTTGGCATGGAGACTAGGCGCCAGGCGCGAGCCAATGGGAGCGTATATGGGCAGGCGTGTACTTACGTATTCACCCCACAGCAATAGATCATAATTACAGCTGCAGTGGTGTCGACAACTTCATTCTCCCGGGGGCATAAGGACTAACAAAAAACCAGAACCCCGCAGCAATAGATCAGAATTACAGCTGCAGTGGTGTGGACAACTTCATTCTCCCGGGGGCATAATTATTATTATTATTACTTGCATGTACGCGTTGGAGTCAACCATGCAAGCATGATCCACAACTTCGCTTATGCTGAACATGATAAACAGGACTATGACAGGGGAAAGAAATTGAGCTAGAACGATGATACAATGATATAATTATCATATACAATGTAGCTCATGGGTATTGAAGATATGTCATTTATGAATATGTCTTTAATTATGTCATTGAATATTGCAGCCTGAGTGATAATAATAGTGCTATTTCCTGAGTTTGACTGTTTCAGGACCTGTCGGAATATCACGATGCACAGATCTTCATGCATAGATCTCGCGGGGGCATAAGGACTAACAAAAAACCAGAACCCCGCAGCGATAGATCATACATACAGCTGCAGTGGTGTTGACAACTTCATTCTCCCAGGGGCATAAGGACTAACAAAAACCCAGCACCCTGTAGCAATAGATCATAATTACAGCTGCAGTGGTGTCAACAACTTCATTCTCCCGGGGGCATAAGGACTAACAAAAACCCAGAACCCCGCAGCAATAGATCATAATTACAGCTGCAGTGGTGTGGACAACTTCATTCTCCCCAGGGCATAAGGACTAAAAAAAAACAAGAACCCCGCAGCACTGTCTGAACAGGTCATTATTCTTACCTTTAGCACAGATTATGGAATATTCTTGGCTAGTTAGGCCTGGAATGTATTCTTGATCACTAGCTCTTGCAAAACCATGTTCATCGCGATGGATCCAAGCCGGAGATATGCCAAGTTTCTTGACAAACAACGAAAGACACTCCTCGGTCTCAATCAAAGGAAGTTTCATTTTTTGTACTCCACATTGATAGTCAGCAGCATCGTAGGTGCTCCGGGTTCCGTTTATAATGTAGTAAAGATCATAGTTTTGACATTCATGCTTCACAGTACCTGATAGGGGAGATCTGGGGCGCTCTGTGTGGACACATATAAACAGCAGCAGGAAAGCCAATCCACGCACAAAACAGACCATACTGAAAAAAACATTCTGAAGGCTTATCATCTTATTACAGTCATGGTGAGCTGAAGCATAACTCGTTCCCATGTGTTTCACTTCTTCTTCTTTTTACTATAAAAATATGATTTAAATTCACGCAGCTTCGTTACAGCAACTTGTATTGTGGCAAAACTGGGCAACACTCAGATGCACTGCTTCTTCACGTAGCTGAACAATTCTTCACGCAGCTCATCAATACTTAACGCAGCTCAGCAATTCTTCACGCAGCTGAACAACTCTTCACGCAGCTGAACAATTCTTCACGCAGCTGAACAAATCTTCTATAAAGTAAAATACACAGTCGCAGCAAAACTAACTGAAGCCATACTGACGTTCAATAGCATGGTGGTCACCTACTTCACGTCTTGAGTGCACAAGGCTGCAATGAACAAATGAGTTTATTCTGAACAGACATTTGTGTACTTTATTCATGCAATGTAAAAAACGGTGGAGACGATGTGCAATAAAACGATGAAAATATGAAGAAATGGTGAAGGGAAAAAATATGGATTCAAACAAGTTTTCGTACAACACTCATCAGGAATCGTCGTTGTACTAAAGGACACTGAAACAAAAATTGAACTATTATAGAAAATCTAAGTTAGAGAAATAACACTAAGAGCAACAACAGTGAAATTTACAAGTGTGAATTTTAACAATCAAAGCGAGAACTGAACAAAGGAGAAAGGAAGGAAAGACAACGTGATAACACATAACAGCAGTACATTACACCTAGAACATAACGGCCAAGTTTGGCCGCACTAAACACGACACGTTACTTGAACAATTTCAACCCAATTATACTATCTTTCTGTACACACAAATTAGGCTTGTACAGACGCTGATAGATAGCTTCCAACACTTTTAACTGTAGTCCATAACCATGGCGACCACGGCACAATACAGTGAACGAAGAGTCGGAATACGCACCGCAACAATCAGGACTAGCCAGCAGATGATTGTACACTGAAGACTTGCTACCACGAAACCTACGCACAACACTAACACTCTCACCGGCACTCTCACCATCACTCCCATCACTGCTCTCCGACTCACTGCTCCCTCCACCGTCCGTTCCATCCTCCGCTTCCTCTGTACTCTCTCTGTCTCGTCCATCCCGCCTCACCGGGTCCATTGAATTCAACTCGGCCGTCCGCCTGCTATCACGTCCCTCCTTTCACCCTCGTCCGCTGAGCGCGTAGCTTCTGTTGTAGTTGGCTGTTGATCATCTTGGTCTTTCAATTATGGGCTTGGATGGTGGATTAGTTGTGGTTGCTGTAGATTGCGTTGTTGGTGTTGGTGTGGGAGTTACTGAGTTACAACAGAAGCTACGCACTCAGCGGACGAGGGCGAAAGGAGGGATGTGATAGCAGGGGACGGCCGAGTTGAATTCAATGGATCCGGTCAGGCGGGATGGACGAGGCAGAGAGAGTACAGAGGAAGCGGAGGATGGAACGGACGGCGGAGGGAGCAGTGAGTCGGAGAGCAGTGATGGGAGTGATGGTGAGAGTGCCGGTGAGAGTGTTAGTGTTGTGCGTAGGTTTCGTGGTAGCAAGTCTTCAGTGTACAATCATCTGTTGGCTAGTCCTGATTGTTGCGGTGCGTATTCCGACTCTTTGTTCACTGTATTGTGCCGTGGTCGTCATGGTTATGGACTACAGTTAAAAGTGTTGGAAGCTATCTATCAGCGTCTGTACAAGCCTAATTTGTGTGTACAGAAAGATAGTATAATTGGGTTGAAATTGTTCAAGTAACGTGTCGTGTTTAGTGCGGCCAAGCTTGGCCGTTAATGTTCTAGGTGTAATGTACTGCTGTTATGTGTTATCACGTTGTCTTTCCTTCCTTTCTCCTTTGTTCAGTTCTCGCTTTGATTGTTAAAATTCACACTTGTAAATTTCACTGTTGTTGCTCTTAGTGTTATTTCTCTAACTTAGATTTTCTATAATAGTTCAATTTTTGTTTCAGTGTCCTTTAGTACAACGACTTTCATCGTTTTATTGCACATCGTCTCCACCGTTTTTTACATTGCATGAATAAAGTTCACAAATGTCGGTTCAGCTAGTTTTATTGATTGAGTTTATTCTAATTATTATTCTCCATCCAGGAGCGAGTTGAAATGACAACAAAGAATGAGCAACCAAAACGGAAGCAGCATTCTAGACGGCTGATCAGAGCCTGATCGCAAATATGTACTCACTTTGCAAGCAGATGTTACGCCGAGTCTGCGTTGTAGGATGCGTTTGCAGATCGCTGGCACGGAAAGGATCGTCAGGACCTTGATGCAAGATCCAATACGAGTCGTAAGTTCCTGTGTATCGGGTCAGCGAATCAAGGCAGTAGTGCAAGTAGGGCAGCGGGATGATGGCATTGATCTCCTTTGGATGCTCACAGTTATGTATGGCCGCGTAATAGGTAGAATAATCCTGCAGGGTCTGCGTGGGATAGAGCAGGAACTTGTCAGCCGTCCAGCAACTTGCCTTCTTTTCAAGTTTGGCTGCAGAGACGAAAAGAAAACGCAGTTTGCTTGAGACTCGGTTAGAACGGGTTTTTCAGCATCCACAGGAACGCCACCACCCTACAGAGTGAGAAGTCATAAATGGTAAGGGGCCGTCCGGGGTTACCAACACTTTTTGCAAAACGAAAAGGTTTTGCATTTTTCAGCACCCACCCACCTACCTACCTTTTCTGCAGGTAAAACGAGTTCACAAAAAGTATTGATGGTAAATTTCGATACCCATATATGCACATACTGAACGAAAATGTGGAAAGATTTTAGGACCTGAACAAGATCCAGGGCTCCCGCACCAGCTAAGCAACTGACTGTTGCAACCTATAATGCTCAAAGTGAATACTTACTTGACGACTTGCACAGGACATGAGCAGCAGTGGATGCGCGAATGTTCTGCGTGTTTGCCTTCATATTGAAAGCGATGGGGGCTCTTGAGACTGGGTTCAGCACCCAGATGGAACCATCAGCAATGGTCAAGTTGTTTTCGAGAATGAAATTCTTGATTTCGAGCACTTCATCCATCGTCATCAGTCGTGTGCCTCTGTCCTCACACGCCATACTAGCCCGATCAACTGTTGTCTGGTGTTGGCTAAAATACCAGTGTTCTTGGCCAACTGTCACCGAGTCTACAATACACACACAAAAGGGAACAGACGAGAACACAAAACATTGTCCAAACATCAAGTGATGAGTGAGAACCAGATGGGAATTATCCCTTGCACAACTGCTCTGTCCTCTCCGTACACAGATATCACTTCCAAAAGAGTATCTAGAAGCTTTGTCCCTCAATTTCCGGACAGGGAGCAGCCGGAAACTATTGCCATCGCTTTCAGCAACATCGATTTCTTTCTTTGCACCCAGAGCAAGGCGATTAGTTTTTTCCGGGAAGAGCAAAACCTTGGCTTTTTCATGTTTGAAGATTGTGTCCTCAGACTCCTCCACTAACAAAAAGACATTGAAATGGTCAGCACGATGCAATCGCTGACCAACTAGAAAGGCAACACAAAAACAAGACTGAACTTTGCTCGCGATCTCGGTATGATTTGGCAACACAATGTTTTATGTTTTAACTTAACACTTATGCAATCGTGGGGCAACACGGCGCCAGCAACCTTAACACAGTGGAAACTCACCTATTTCCTGGCAAACCGGCAGATCACCGTACCTCAAGTACACAGAAGAAGCAATTTCTAAAAGTGCAGAATTGTGGTATCGCCCGCCTGCACATGGAGGATTGGTGCAGCGTTCAAAACGCGGCCAAAAGCATTTGAATTTCGCCGTCTCCCATTCCAGGTATCGGTTCGGATCATCCCTGTTTTGGACTGTTACTTGTGCTGTTAGGCAGAAAGAAGAAAAGCAGAACAGGCTCGTAACGCACTAGTCAAAATAGGATTCATACGCATGAATAGTGTCGCAGACTGTCTATACACAACGGTGTGTAGCGCTCATAGGCCAAGTACAACGTCTAGAAGATTCGTCTAGAGGATTTGTCTAGAGAGGGCTGCGAAAAGCAATCCGCACTGACAACGGTCCCCGTCTCCGCTCCACTCTCCTACATTCTATGATCACCAGGTGGAACTGCCTGCCTACCAAGATCAGGATATCTGACACACGTGGTGCATTTAGCACGCACATGTAAAGCTAGGCAATAGATTATGTCACGTCGAATCAACGTGAAGTACTCGCTACTCCCTACTGGGTATTGAACAGGGAGTGGTGCTTTCTTGCAGGTTTGCAGAGTCGAAGGGTCGATGGACTTCTCGTGTTCTCTGGATGACGGTCGTGAGTCAGTCAAGTCAAGTCGGTGGAATAGCGCGAGATCCGGTGTGGGGAGCGAACCCTTTCTTACAAATCATCGCCGAAGTCGCAACCACTATTTCGTGTTATAATTTTATATTATAATATTATTATGTACTTGAGCCGTGTAAGAATATTCTTGCTGATTCTCTACCCAGGAGAATGAAGTTGAAGACACCACTGCAGCTGCACTTAGAGAAGGAGAGCTCTGTGCCAAAACTTTGCAGCTTAAAGAGCGTGTGTGGGCAGGCGTGTGTTTACCGCCATATTGCCAGGTGTGTCTTTACCACTATATTTATCAACCATGATTCTCTTCCCCTAATATAAATTCTGGCTTCGTTTTTGTTATTGCTTATTCCCATGTAACCACTGATGAAAATGCGTGAAAAGCTTCTGGTATGAAATTGACAACCTTGCTGTTGTGTGCATAATAAGCATTTAATATTATATAAACATGTATATACTGGGAACTTGTGGCCAGGCGCCAGGGGGTACATGGATGCAGCTAATGGGGTCGTTCTCGGCACTTGTGCCAGTGGTTGTGAGACGTATCCACTCACCCCCAGCGTCAGGCACTGCATCTGCCGCTAGCGTTTATCGGGTGTTAGCGGCTGTCGTGAGTTCCCTTCGGGAACGGACACGATAATTTACTTTTTTTATATACGTCATTGAGAACGACCCCTGTTCACTAATGACGTATAATATTATGTCATTAGTGGACCGGGGTCATTCTCAATGCTAGTGGGTCCTACAAACACAGGTCTGCAACATGATGCATTTAGCTAATGGTGAGGGTGCTCATGTTCTATTTCGAAAATTCAAATCAAACTTTCTTCCGAATAACAAGATAGTGTAGAGCATATCACTGCAGGACCCACACGCACTTCTGACCGTGTTTAAAGCCATTATTACTGAATCACGCAACGCACAAGGACAAGGGGTTTCTCGAGCACTTCAAAGCTCTCAACAAGTTGGCAGCGACACACACACACACATTCATACAACTGAACACGTACACACATACACATTCCTGCACACACATGCTCACACGTCCGCGCTCACGTACAAACACGGCGAAAAACTTACATGTATAGCAGGTGCGATAGTTCTTGCGTGCAGTGCCGGTGCACACTGGCCCTACTTTGTGATCATCATCCGCACTTGGACACCCATCGCTGTCTACACACCGCCAAAAGTTCCCACTACGGCAAGGATCTGTACCATCAATGTTGCTATCCTCCCACAAAGTGGCCTGTAGAGTACCACCACACCCTGCAAACAGTAGCCGAAGACGAAGAGGAGTGAAATCAAAAAGAGCAGATAAACAAATGCCGCTTGCATTGCACAATTACACTATCCCGATGTGACCTTGTCCCGAGAGCCAGTGAGCATGGTACGGAGTTATGAAAGAAGATTTTTGGGAATTTGAAAGATTGGCGGAACTTCAAAATTCAAAAGATCAGTCATTGAAGGGAAATGCGTGAAAAGAGGACAAAGTGCTAACCCCTCCGGGACACCAGGACTCGAACCCGAGATCTAGGTGGTCATGAGCAAATCTCTGACCCTCTTGCTAACAAGTGACAGTTGTTTCACCACGTCATCGAGGTCGGGGTCTGCAGCGCGTGATGCTGATCACCGTGATGTCAGAAAGTCAAGTCAACATCCGTTGCTTCCAGCTTCCAACTTTCAACTGCCAGTGAGCAGACTGCACTGTGATCACATGCGATTGGCCAAATGAGTGCTAGCCTGCGAATCAAGAGGTCCCTCACGCGAGAGCAAGGCTTGCAATGGGAACATGATCTCTACAGATTGATTTATATAATTAGATTGTCCATACATGTATATGACATTGTGTTCTACTTGGGATTGTGGTGGTGCTGGTGGGTACTGCATTTTTTTCTCTTCATTTTTTGATTTTACAAAGACCACTTTAAAAATTCTAACCATGAGCTGCAACAAGGGAAGCAAGCACTACATGAATTCTTCACATGCAATCCACGCTGTGTTTGCACCTGAGGTCTTTCTGCCGCTGCTTGCAACACGACGGCTTGTAATCGTGTCAGCAACACGCACACAATTATCGGGACGTATGCAAACAAACACACGTACATGCACCCACACGCACACTGGCACATGCACACATACACACACGCATTGACACCTACACTGCACACACGGAGACTCACCTTGAAAATGATTCCTGACCCCATCTTCGCTTACTAGAGCGAGTTCGCTACTCCCGCGCCTATGTACATACTCTAAGCAAGATACAGACACACAAACACACACTGTTCATTCAACCGTGGTTTGTGTTCAGGAGAATACTGCCGGCTCCACATCTACTGCAGTTGTATTATCTTATTATCATGACAGCGTTTTCTAGTATTCTGTTATCGCAGAGTATTCTATGTAGGTGTCCAGTGTACAGCCCATTTCAAAAATATAGGCGCATGGTACTTTTGAAATATTTCAAATTTGGCTAAAGCTTTTTGAGAATTTTTTCAGAATGTTGATCAGGTCCTTCCCACTCTTATATAGATTTTAGGCGATCAAATATCACACGTCCCATTTCGAAAACGTTGTGCACTAAGTGATCACAGATTTTATGTGATAAAGATGCTGGCCTAACGGTTTTTTTGAAACCCCGCGTCTATGTTTTTGAAATGCACTGTATGTGGTGTGACATATGGAGTACTTTCCTGCCATATGGAGTACTTTCCTGCCATATGGAGTACTTTCCTGCCATATGGAGTACTTTCCTGCAATATGGAGTACTTTCCTGCCATATGGAGTACTTTCCTGCCATATGGACACCACTGCAATGGTGGACAGTTTACCTTTGTGCACGTGCTCCAGATGCTTACAGTAAAACTGGTCATAGCGACCACTCGGATAAGACGACCACCTGTCCTAAAAGACCACTGAAACCAGGACTAATCAGTTACGCTATTTCCGGTCAAATGACTCTGGATACGGAGACGACCTGGTGACAGAAACCGCATTTTGAAGGCCCCTTGAGCGGTCGTGCAGGCAGGCCTAGTGGGATGTTCTAAGACCATGATTGAAAAACAGAGGGTACCAGGTTCAAGTGCTGCTTGGAAGCGGAAGGATGCTTTCCAGCCATGCTGCGACCCACAGTTAATTGGGAACTTGTGGCCTGGCACGAGGAAAACATGGATGCAGTGAATGGGATTTTCGGTCTTTGACCACACGTTGGTGAGCTGATCTACTCACCTCCCACCGCTTTAGAAGCTGCATCTGCGCCTTGATCCTTGAAGGATGGTGGCGTTCCTACAGGTGCGGAAAGCTCGGCCTCTATATAGAGAAACCGAGTCTCACGCGAACCGTGAAATTTTCTTTCTTTTTCTGAGCGGTCGTCTTAGACAGGTTTCACTGTACTGTGACAGTCCACACTATCACTGTCATTTCACCTTCTCCTTGTTCTCGGCATTCATATCGGCACACATGCACAGTCTGTTCACTGCTGGCTCATTCCTGCTACGCCTTCTCATTGATTCTTAGTAAATCTGGGGTTTTTAACTCTCCGCATGCCCTCTGGATTGTGATTGTACGCAAAATTCACTTTCGACAAACAAATGACGAGAGGTCACGTTTCGCATCTGACCACTCGGTTGTGTATTACCCCTAATAACCTGGTGCATGGCATGTTTTGGTTGTGTTTCAATAGGAACTATCTTGGAACAAGTTGTAATTGCTACACCTACTACCCAGCGAGTGTCTAGCCACTTAGATGCGGTGTTCTATGAGGTGTCCGTTAACCCGTGCTGCGAAAAATGTTTCTCACTGCATTGTTGACCGTCACTAGTCCAACCGTTTCCAACCGGCTGTGTCTGGCCCGGACGGCCTGGTGGTGAAAATGACCAGATCACATCAGTGCCTAACAGTCAGCCCAACCCTGCCACTATTCCCAACCCTGCCCCCATTACCAACCCTGCCACCATTCCCAACCTTGCCACCATTCACAACCCTGCCACCATTCCCAACCCTGCCACCATTCCCAACCCTGCCACCATTCCCAACCCTGTCACCATTCACAACCCCGCCACCATTCACAACCCTGCCACCATTCCTAACCCTGCCACCATTCCTAACCCTGCCACCATTCCTAACCCTGCCTCCATTCCTAACCCAGCCACCATTCCCAACCCTGCCACCATTCCTAACCCTGCCACCATTCCCAACCCTGCCACCATTCCCAACCCTGCCACCATTCCCAACCCTGCCACCATTCCTAACCCTGCCACCATTCCTAACCCTGCCTCCATTCCCAACCCTGCCTCCATTCCCAACCCTGCCACCATTCCCAACCCTGCCACCATTCCCAACCCTGCCACCATTCCTAACCCTGCCACCATTCCCAACCTTGCCACCATTCCTAACCCTGCCTCCATTCCTAACCCTGCCTCCATTCCTAACCCTGCCACCATTCCTAACCCTGCCACCATTCCTAACCCTGCCACCATTCCTAACCCTGCCACCATTCCTAACCCTGCCACCATTCCTAACCCTGCCACCATTCCTAACCCTGCCACCATTCCTAACCCTGCCACCATTCCTAACCCTGCCACCATTCCTAACCCTGCCACCATTCCTAACCCTCCCTCCATTCCCAACCCTGCCTCCATTCCTAACCCTGCCTCCATTCCCAAGCTGCACACCCATAGCACAATGCAATGCAAAGGCAATTGCTTCCCGCGTAAATGTATGTAAATATTTAGGTCCAAAGCGGCATGCTTGGACAGCTTGACCTAATGGAAAGTATCAATCAGCCATTGCCACCCATTGTCCAGTATATCCCGAATATGTTGATAAACAGTCATAAACGACACGTTAACACGTGAATTCAAATTATTGCTCCCAGTGTTTGTTTTTCGCCTCGAAACTGGCTCTCAACTAATCCGTGTGAACTTACTGTAGCAACCAGCAGTGTTCTGCCAGACACCCTTATATGGCTTGGCGGGTATGCTCTCACGCAGTGATGTCCTGTAACCGTGGTGGCACTTGACACGACCGCTCTCATCAACATAGCGGATGCCTTCATCTCGGCGAATACCGCGGCTGGAGATTGCACCGCCTGGCAGACGTGCTCCTGACATTCACAAATCACAACACCAAAGAACATGTACAAGCCATATGACCAAATAAGTAGACATATGCTTTTTTTGGCTGTAGCATACTTTTTCAGCATACACACACGTACACACACAAACACACGTACACACACGTACACACACACACACACACGTACACATACACACACACACATGCTAATCTACACATACCACCCCCCCCCCCCCCCCCACCACCACCACCACCACTACCACTAATGTCACACCTCACAGGGCTGCCACTTGCTCCGATTTGTCGGAAATCGTCCGATTTTTGATCGCCTGTCCGACAAACCGACCGATTTTGTTCCCAAAGAGGGACAACCGATTATTTTATTTTGAGCGCTTTTTAGTCCAGTTGGCCGGTCATTTGTACACGTAGATCTACGTACATGTACATGTAGCTGTAAAATGCTCGCGTGCTTGCATGCACTTGGAATATGTACGGTGTCTCGTCATGTTGTACGTTGAGCCTCAACGTACAACATGACGTGAATACATGCATGCATCGTGTTCCAAAAAGAATGAATACTCTTTCCGTAGATCAGCACCTTTAAAACCACGGCCTTATATTCGAAACACCACTGCTTTCCTAGATATTTTAGACGCGAAATGACTCACCCACTGCGCCATGCCATAAAAGTTAAAGTCTCCACATAAATTTCAATCTAAATATACTTGTGCACCCTTCCTGCTAGGCTGAAAGTTTGTAAGCATAGTACATATTCCTTCATTTTTACAAAACACACTTCAAATGTCATTATTTTGATATATGAAGCCCATGATGGCTTTGTAACTAAGACTGGCTTTATAATCGAATATACCGCTATGGCTTTCAAGGTGCAGCCATATGGTACAATGTACACAAAAAGACATACAAATTGACATGGACAAAAGGATATGCATTCTTTGACCTTCACTTACCGACACAAACCGATGAATACTTCGCAAAGTGTCTTTCTTTCCCATGCCTTGTGAACCAGAGGGGGATTTTGTCAAAGGTTGCGGCAAGTTCTCTGCACTCGGGAGTGCCTGTCTTCATTTCACCCAATACCGTATTCCATAGCGCTTCGCTTGGCAGGAAAAACCCAACGTTCTTGCGGCACGCATCCTGGGCTGCATCATATGTTACCTTTTCGAAAGTCTGGGTGTGCAGAAGAACTTTCCAATTTCCGCACAATGTTTCTGACTTGCGAGTTGTCCTTCCTGGAGGACAAGAAAGGTGAGAATACCCACATACAATAACCTGATAGAAAAATGGGTGGGAATTTGCAAATCAGCACTTGAGAAATAGTGCTCCTGCGGATGAGTTCTTTCACCGGAGAGACAGAAAACTAATCAAGAGGAAATGTAGAAATGTAACGTGAAATGTGAATTGTATCAAAGTATAGATAATCAACACTAGTGTTCCGACACCCACTCAGTCTAGTGTGGTCAGGGCCATGGCTTGAGCAACATGCACTCTACAACATACATGACGTACATCCCATTGGGCAAACAGTGTTTCCTCCCAGACATCCATTTCTTGTCTTCACCAGAACATTTTTCTCTCCTTTCTGTGCCAGATTGTTTATTCAACGGAGATAGCTGTGTGCCTTTGCGACTCCTGTCACATCCCATTTTTTAAGCTAGTGAACAGGTGTATTGTGACGAGTAACTTACCAAAGCAAGCATTATGAATGCAGTGTAGCTAATATGTCAACAGGCAGGCAAGGTGATAGCATGCAGGCAACAACTGAAATGCTACAAGGCTACCATATACCATGCTGTATGATGTAATGTATGATGCAATGTATGATGTAATGTATGATGCAATGTGTGATGCAATGTATGATGCAATGTGTGATGCAATGTGTGATGCAATGTATGATGCAATGTGTGATGCAATGTATGATGCAATGTATGATGCAATGTGTGATGCAATGGATGATGCAATGTATGATGTAATGTATGATGCAACGTATGATGCAATGTGTGAGAACTAGCAGAAGTGTAGGTGTTGTGGTGTTGTGGTATGGCAGGTCAGAGGCACTTCAACCTACCCATTGTCCTCGTTCCTCACTATTATTAATTTCCCCTCCTCCTCCACTCCTCGTGGTTTTACTGTATTACGGCATGCTTTCTCTGGGTAGACGCCGACATGTTTAAGGTCGGCAGAGCAGCCTGGCCCCGCCACCAATTCTCGCACTTATTCGGGAATATATTTCAATAGAGGGTCCGGACTTTCGTATAGAGTTTTGTTTTGTATAAAAGGTGTTTCATAGTCAAAGTGGGTCGAGCTACCAATTCCGTACCCTAGTCAGACAGCACTTCAGTATCTTCCAGTAAACAAAATCACAGTCACCACTTCCGCTGCATAGCTCACGGGGCATCCCATTGCTTTGTAAGTTGCTAATCCCTACCCATTTTGTGTACGTGCCTTCTTTTCTTTTGTTCTTTCCTTCCGTGGTTGGTCTCACCCTCTCCTCAATTCAATTGGCTGTCTTGACATGCTACGATGCGCAGAAATAACTAAATAAATAAAATACCACTGGAACTGCTATGCTGAGCCTACAGTCCATTTCAAAACTATAGACGCGTACCTAGGCAAAAACCGTTATGCCAGCATCTATACCACATAAAATCTGTGATCACTTTGCGCACAATTTTTTTCCAAATTGGGCGTCTGTTATCCAATCATTTAGAAACTATATGAGAGTAATTGTGGAGCGGATCTGAGCAATATTCCGAAAACTATTCTCAAAAAGTTCCAGCCAAATTTGAAATAACTATTTCAAAAACACTACGCGTCTATAGTTTTGAAATGGACTGTGGATGATTGGTCTGTCACTACCCAATCAGGGGGAGGGGGGAGCAAACTTACTGCTGCAAAGCAACGCTGGATTTTCGTCGTTGCAGAGCAGGTACCAGTCAAAACTCCTTAGCACGTAGGATATCACCCATGACCTTGCGTGTACGACAGCATGAGGGCCACAAGAGCATCTCCGCGGTCCGCTAAACAGGGACATTGTTCGCTGCAGCAATCCACAGAGAGACAAGATTCAAGCAGATGATTACAGCCAGCAGTTGCAGGGCAAACACACTGTGCTATGTTTCCAAAGGTGCTCACAGTGTGCTAGTATCAGAGACTGTGCTAGTAGTCATGGAGACCTGTGCTTATAAGGATATACGGTAGTCAAGACTACATCACCTTGGCACTTGCACAGTTTTACAGGTACGGGAATCGGAAAACGAGATATGCATGTCAGCGTGCTCAAATCAAGCACCGTGTTGAAGCTAGGAAAAGTGTACAGGTCTCTCATGATGAGGGTGTCAGATATGAAAGCGCGTGTCTTCGAGAATTGTCTGGTGTTTACGCACCATCCAGCCTGAAGGTGTCACTTGGATCAATGACCTCAATGCGTTCGTTGTACATGCCAACTAGACCAGTCTCTGGTGGCTGTTGGCCACTCGTTTCAAGGAGTTTGTCACAATGCCAGAATCTTCACAGAGAATTGTGATTTTGTCCTTTGGCACATCTCAAACAGAAGCCAAGAACCTCGGAGGGCATTCGGAAAATATTTCGCGAAGTGCTCTGGAATCGTGTGCCTCTATATCCCAGCTACTCACGGGGAAAGTCCCAGCTACCCACGGGAAAAGTCCCAGCTACCCACGGGGAAAGTCCCAGCTACCCACGGGGAAAGTCCCAGCTACCCACGGGAAAAGTCCCAGATATCCACGGGGAAAGTCCCAGCTACCCACGGGGAAAGTCCCAGCTACCCACAAGGAAAGTCCCAGATATCCACAGGGTAAGCCCCAGCTACCCACAGGGAAAGTCCCAGCTACTCACAGGGAAAGTCCCAGCTACCCACAGGGAAAGTCCCAGCTACCCACAGGGAAAGTCCCAGATATCCAGAGGTCCCAGCTAGAGTACATAACCAAGAGTGTTCAACTCCTATCTTGAGCTGCAATGGGTTCACCCACGGCGGAATTTGATTATTGCGTCATTCTTTGGGGGTACATGGATGCAGCTAATGGGGTCGTTTTCGGCACTTGTGCCAGTGGTTGTGAGACTTGCCCACTCACCCCCACCGTTAGGCGCTGCATCTGCCGCTAGGGTTTATGGGGTGTTAGCGGCCGTCGTGAGTTCCCTTCGGGAACGGATACGATAAATTACTTTACTTTGGCAGAAGCATGACAAAGTGGGTATGCTTTCCCGTGCTTGTTTTGTAGATACGGTGAGAGTCGGTCAGGTTCAAGACACGTACACATCGATCTATCGTCCGTTGTCCTGCTTCGACTACCGTAGCTGTAATGTACAAATCATTTGTACTTTGATCTCTGGCTATGCATGATGGCATCAGTGAGCCAAACCGCTGCCAAAGACTGATGGCATAAAACAATTCCGCCGTGGGCTGGGGGATCGTCGAGTAGCACTCTTGGTTATGTACTCTTGGTCCCAGCTATCACACAGGGAAAGTCCCAGCTCGATGCTGCGAAACACTGCACACAGAAGTCATTGATGGTTTGTGATTGAAATCTGAACGTAAGGCTGCAAATGGTAAAGGCTTCACCAATTCCGGACGGGTCAATTGACCCCATGTAGAAACTAAGATTGGGATATTTTCCTCACTGTTCTTCGAACTAAACTTACCGAAGCGCCGGACATGCCGTACACAAATGAGAGATGGCGAAGATTTGAGGTCTCCACATCGTACTGATGCGCCTTGATTGCGCTGTCAGTGGTATGCTCGGTGCCAATGGGGCAGACGTGCCTTGTGGCATAGTGTGTGCTGGAAAGGAAGTAGGGCGCAACGACCAGATCCATCCCATCAAAGTGGTAAGTTGAATTAGCATGGTACTCTGAAAGAAACAAAAAAACGACAACACAAACAAGCTCGTTGAGCGGCCTGAGCGAATGCTAGGATTGGATGTGTATTATGTTGATTTGTTGATTTTTGTAGTGACACACCCTGATGCAACACGCGGAGAGGTAAAATTAATAATATTAATAATGTAGAAAGAAGTAGTGGTTGCGACTTCGGCGATGATTTGAAAAGAAAAAATATATGGATAAGGAAATATAGATATGAGCAAGAGTCCATAAACAAGAGTATGCAACTGTGATCTCTTTTCTATGGGCCAGATTACATCATTACATCATTCAGCTGCAGTCCGCGCACTGCGGAAAATCAAACACCGCACTTTCTCTCTGGTTTGAAATGAACTTTCGTACGGAACTGGAGTTCACGTGCCAGAATTCAGAGATCGCGTAGGTACTGGAAAGAATCGAGCAAAAACGGATGGGCTCGTACGAGGAAATTGTGAGTTTGAATGCATACTTTCAGAGCGTGATGAAGGCAAGTTACGTAATGAAGGCAGCGCGCCGCGCACTGGGCCATAACCACAGTTGCATACTAGTTGGAAGGCTGTCGGTTAGCGCTACGGAGATGTGTTGAAGCTAGGTGTCAGGACGTCGAATGTCTCAGTACTCTGTCAGTTTTGTGCCTGCACTTTCTGACTGTATATAGTATCCAGTTACAGTGATGGAGAGTTACTCGTATCCATATGTCCTTTTCCTTTCTACATTTAATATTGGCTCAACATCCGAGTTTCAAATGTTAATAATAATAATAATAATAATCTTCACTAATTTGAGGGAAACAGACAAACGGGAAAAGTCTGAAGAAAAAATCGACTGTCACCAGCAGGACTCAAAACAGGGACCCTCGCTTGTAGCTAGCGATGCTTTAACCACTGAGCTATGGTGTAGTCGTCATCCCAGCAGAGACTGTTCAACGCTTTCTTCAGACTTCGTAACTCACACTTCCTGTGAATCCACACAGGCGGATGGGACGCAGCCCTCACTGTACCCACACACTTCACGTACACTCTAGCACGCGGGGAGCCCCAAGTCATAAAATCTTCACTAGTTTGAGGAAACGAGACAAACGGGAAAAGTCTGAAGAAAAAATTGACTGTGACCACCAGGACTCGAACCAGGGACCCTCGCTTGTAGCTAGCGAGGCTCTAACCACTGAGCTATGGTGTAGTCGTCATAATAATAATAATAATAATAATGGGGCTCCCCGCGTGCTAGTTTGTACGTGAAGTGTGTGGGTTACAGTGAGGGCTGCGTCCCACCCGCCTGTGTGGATTCACAGGAAGTGTGAGTTACGAAGTTTGAAGAAAATGTTGAACGGCCTCTGCTGGGATGACGACTACACCATAGCTCAGTGGTTAGAGCATCGCTGGCTACAAGCGAGGGTCCCTGGTTCGAGTCCTGGTGGTGACAGTCAATTTTTTCTTCAGACTTTTCCCGTTTGTCTCTTTCCCTCAAACCAGTTAATATTTTATGACTTGGGGCTCCCCGCGTGCTAGTTTGTACGTGAAGTGTGTGGGTTACAGTGAGGGCTGCGTCCCACCCGCCTGTGTGGATTCACAGGAAGTGTGAGTTACGAAGTTTGAAGAAAATGTTGAACGGCCTCTGCTGGGATGACGACTACACCATAGCTCAGTGGTTAGAGCATCGCTGGCTACAAGCGAGGGTCCCTGGTTCGAGTCCTGGTGGTGACAGTCAATTTTTTCTTCAGACTTTTCCCGTTTGTCTCTTTCCCTCAAACCAGTTAATATTTTATGACTTGGGGCTCCCCGCGTGCTAGTTTGTACGTGAAGTGTGTGGGTTACAGTGAGGGCTGCGTCCCACCCGCCTGTGTGGATTCACAGGAAGTGTGAGTTACGAAGTTTGAAGAAAATGTTGAACGGCCTCTGCTGGGATGACGACTACACCATAGCTCAGTGGTTAGAGCATCGCTGGCTACAAGCGAGGGTCCCTGGTTCGAGTCCTGGTGGTGACAGTCAATTTTTTCTTCAGACTTTTCCCGTCTGTCTCTTTCCCTCAAACCAGTTAATATTTTATGACTTGGGGCTCCCCGCGTGCTAGTTTGTACGTGAAGTGTGTGGGTTACAGTGAGGGCTGCGTCCCACCCGCCTGTGTGGATTCACAGGAAGTGTGAGTTACGAAGTTTGAAGAAAATGTTGAACGGCCTCTGCTGGGATGACGACTACACCATAGCTCAGTGGTTAGAGCATCGCTGGCTACAAGCGAGGGTCCCTGGTTCGAGTCCTGGTGGTGACAGTCAATTTTTTCTTCAGACTTTTCCCGTTTGTCTCTTTCCCTCAAACCAGTTAATATTTTATGACTTGGGGCTCCCCGCGTGCTAGTTTGTACGTGAAGTGTGTGGGTTACAGTGAGGGCTGCGTCCCACCCGCCTGTGTGGATTCACAGGAAGTGTGAGTTACGAAGTTTGAAGAAAATGTTGAACGGCCTCTGCTGGGATGACGACTACACCATAGCTCAGTGGTTAGAGCATCGCTGGCTACAAGCGAGGGTCCCTGGTTCGAGTCCTGGTGGTGACAGTCAATTTTTTCTTCAGACTTTTCCCGTTTGTCTCTTTCCCTCAAACCAGTTAATATTTTATGACTTGGGGCTCCCCGCGTGCTAGTTTGTACGTGAAGTGTGTGGGTTACAGTGAGGGCTGCGTCCCACCCGCCTGTGTGGATTCACAGGAAGTGTGAGTTACGAAGTTTGAAGAAAATGTTGAACGGCCTCTGCTGGGATGACGACTACACCATAGCTCAGTGGTTAGAGCATCGCTGGCTACAAGCGAGGGTCCCTGGTTCGAGTCCTGGTGGTGACAGTCAATTTTTTCTTCAGACTTTTCCCGTTTGTCTCTTTCCCTCAAACCAGTTAATAATAATAATAATAATAATTTTTTTTTTTTTTTTTTTATATGTGCAAGCCTCTTTTACGGGCAAAAATTAACACAATGTATTAAAATGCAATACAACATACACTGGAGAAGGAATCAGGAAAATAAAATATGAGCTCAAAAATGGAACGAAAAATAGCAAATAGAATCAAAACTCACGATGGAATCAAACTCATGATGGAAACTACAACCCAATGAGTTGGAAAACCAACCACAGAATTAGATATTGGGAATAGAGTCAGACACAACAACAACCGAAATCAGTACACCAAAAATCTGTCCTACAAAAAAATAATAATAATAATAATAATATTGACTAGTTTTGAGGGAAAGAGACAAACGGGAAAAGTCTGAAGAAAAAATTGACTGTCACCACCAGGACTCGAACCAGGGACCCTCGCTTGTAGCCAGCGATGCTCTAACCGCTGAGCTATGGTGTAGTCGTCATCCAAGCAGAGACCGTTCAACGTTAATAATAATAATAATAATAATAATACGAAGTAGTGGTTGCGACTTCGGCGATGATTTGTAAGAAAGGTTTGCTCCCCACACCGGAGCTCGCGCTATTCCGCCGACTTTACTTCGTACTGTTGTGCCCAGCGCGGGCTTGCGACTAGTTGGTTTGGAGGTGACAGCGTTGCGAATGACCGAGGGTCCTCGACGTCTGTCTCACCGTCCAGGAGCGACACTGACTCACGCTGCTATCTGGTGTTCACGAGGTGTTTGTCGCGCTGGAAGCGGAGCGTCTCTGTAAGTTTGTATCCCTGGTGATGTTTGTGCCTGGAGAGCACTATATAAGTGGTGCTCTTCAGGCACAATCTTCCTCAGCCTACTCAAGCTCAACTGATGAGGGGTGAATTCCCCGAAACACTGTGTATTGAGCAGGGAGTGGTGCTTTCTTGCAGGTTAGCCGAGTCGAAGGTTCGATGGACTTCTCGTGTGCTCTGGATGGCAGTCGTGAGTCAGTCAAGTGTCAAGTAAAGTCGGCGGAATAGCGCGAGCTCCGGTGTGGGGAGCAAACCTTTCTTACAAATCATCGCCGAAGTCGCAACCACTACTTCGTACTGTTGTGCCCAGCGCGGGCTTGCGACTAGTTGGTTTGGAGGTGACAGCGTTGCGAATGACCGAGGGTCCTCGACGTCTGTCTCACCGTCCAGGAGCGACACTGACTCACGCTGCTATCTGGTGTTCACGAGGTGTTAGTCGCGCTGGAAGCGGAGCGTCTCTGTAAGTTTGTATCCCTGGTGATGTTTGTGCCTGGAGAGCACTATATAAGTGGTGCTCTTCAGGCACAATCTTCCTCAGCCTACTCAAGCTCAACTGATGAGGGGTGAATTCCCCGAAACACTGTGTATTGAGCAGGGAGTGGTGCTTTCTTGCAGGTTTGCCGAGTCGAAGGTTCGATGGACTTCTCGTGTGCTCTGGATGGCAGTCGTGAGTCAGTCAAGTGTCAAGTAAAGTCGGCGGAATAGCGCGAGCTCCGGTGTGGGGAGCAAACCTTTCTTAATAATAATAATAATAATAATTTTAGAATTGCGATCAACAGAACGAGCTGAACCGACATTTTCACAAAGGCTTTTATTGTATTCAAAAAACGAGTGTATACGAAGGCAGTGAAGAACATGGAAGAAAGAAAAAATGTGATATGGAAGAAATGATGAACAAAAAATTATGAATAAAAAATTGTACTTCGAACTAGTTTTCGCACAACACTCCTCAGGAAGCTACGTTGTACTAATGAAAAACAATCCAGAAAGATACTAATAAAGAGAAATGGAGTGAGAAGAAACAACACCTATGAAAATGATAATCCTAGCACTAAGGTAATACCAGGAAAAACTGCGAAAGCACTTAACGAACTTGTAAGGACTACTAGTATACTGTGACACAAGATATGACACCATGGCCAACCAGAGCCAAACAGACAGAACAAGTGCGAAAACTAGTTCGAAGTACAATTTTTTGTTCATCATTTCTTCCATATCACATTTTTTCTTTCTTCCATGTTCTTCACTGCCTTCGTATACACTCGTTTTTTGAATACAATAAAAGCCTTTGTGAAAATGTCGGTTCAGCTCGTTCTGTTGATCGCAATTCTAAAACTATTGTCGCCTCGACGCCTATTTAAATAATAATAATAATAATAATTTGATAACCGCAATCAATAAAACTAGCTGAACCGACATTTGTGTACTTTATTCATGCAATGTAAAAACTGGACTACAGATAAAGTGTTGGAAGCTATCTATCAGCGTCTGTACAAGCCTAATTTGTGTGTACAGAAAGATAGTATAATTGGGTTGAAATTGTTCAAGTAACGTGTCGTGTTTAGTGCGGCCAAGCTTGGCCGTTAATGTTCTAGGTGTAATGTACTGCTGTTATGTGTTATCACGTTGTCTTTCCTTCCCTTCTCCTTTGTTCATTTCTCGCTTGTTAAAATTCACACTTGTAAACTTCACTGTTGTTGCTCTTAGTGTTTTTTCTCTAACTTAGATTTTCTATAATAGTTCAATTTTTGTTTCAGTGTCCTTTAGTACAACGACGATTCCTGATGAGTGTTGTACGAAAACTTGTTTGAATCCATATTTTTTTTCCCTACACCATTTCTTCATATTTTCATCGTTTTATTGCACATCGTCTCCACCGTTTTTACATTGCATGAATAAAGTACACAAATGTCGGTTCAGCTAGTTTTATTGATTGCGGTTATCAAATTATTGTCTCCTCGCCGAGTGTTTAAATAATAATAATAATAATTTGAAACTCGGGTATTGAGCCAATAATAAAAGTAGAAAGGAAAAGGATATATGGAAACGAGTTAAGAGTAACTGTCCACCACTGTAACTAGATACTATATACAGTCAGAAAGTGCAACAACTAGGCACAAAACTGACAGAGTACTGAGACATTCGACGTCCTGACACCTAGCTTCAACACATCTCCGCAGCGCTAACCGACAGCCTGCCAACTTGGAAGGTTCAAGGTTATGGAAAGACCAAAGAGGGGAAGGCAAGCGCAACGAAAACTTTGATATTTTTTGACCCACCCAAGTTTGGGTGGTGTGCTGCTTTGCTGTTTTGTCAAATCGCCTACTGGTCTTGTCATCGTCCAGTGACAATCGACATTCTTTGTTCCGTTGGGACTGTGGCTTGTGCTCGTTTTCGTTGGAGACATAATAATAATAAACCAGCTCAGGCATGTGAGCACACACATACACGCACACACACACACACACACGCACACACATACATGCACACACACACACACACACACACACACACGCGCACACTCACACACGCACACATGCCCTGAACTGAACATTGCTGTGAAATGGTCACATGTTCTCTCATACGGGGGGGGGGGGGGGGGCACCGACAGACAGACACCATGGATGCGCCAAACCGCCTATTCACATCATAATACCAAGAGTATAAAAGCCCCCAAGAGTGCAGACCGCCTGCATTGCCCAAAGCATTTCCGTCGACAGATGTGTGTGTGTGCATGTGTGTGTGCGTGCGTCAGCAGTTACGGACAGCTCGTCCTGCGAACGCTGCAACTTCCACTGAGCCTGCTGCAACCACTGTATGCTATCGCGCCAAGGCATGAAGCGTCACAAGTGCAACCGTGACTCGGCTAGACCGTAGCTCCATTTGCATCGTTTGGATTTGCGGTCGGCGTTTCAGTAGAGAATATGGCCTATTCTGCCATCGCCCCTTTTGTTCCGAACGTGCCCCCCCCCCCCATGGGGTCTGCAAAGCCAGAATATTTAGCCGCGTCCAAGGTCCAAAGTGTGTGTGTTTGTGGATGCATGTGTGCATGTGTGTGCGTGTGTGTGTGTGTGTGTGCATGTGTGTATGTGTGTGTATACAGTATGTGTGTGTGTATGTGTGTGTGTGTGTGTATGTGTGTATGTCGGTGTGTGCGTATACATATAACCACGGTATGGCACTTACCGACGGAAAGAGAGCATATAACGTAATTGAGATCCGGCCCGTTTTCATTGTAAGAAGCACCGGAAGTGGTTTTAATTTTATCATGCTGGTCACGAGCATCGATCCAGGCAGACTTTTCGGGATCAGTAACTGTGAATGGAAAGTTATGTGAGATACAGTTCGCTTCGAATTGGGACGCCAACCGTCCTTCAATCGACACAAGCGGTGGCGGTCCTTCAGCTGCACTGGAAATTACTCTCTTGCAGTGATCTTTTGCCTGGACATAGCTCAACTTCTTCGGAAAAAATTTGAGCATCCTGACTGCGACCAGACAAAATTTCTCACCTATCTCCGATTGATGGACAAACACAGAACACGTGTGTGCATATTCACACATACACAGACACGCACAAAAAACATGGGCACACACGCATGCACGTACACACACCCTCTCATGCAAAGACACACGCACACACAGATACACACACACGGACACCCACCCACACAGGCATGACCAAACACGTTGACACACAAACACATATGCGAGAACATAAAGGCACGAACACACCAGGCACGTTATGGGAAATTTTGGATGTCACTAAGATAGAAATATAAACAGTGTAAATTGGGTATTCACGACAAAAGAAGAAAAAAAACAGCGAACAGCACTAATGGCCGGGTTCCACTGCAGCTCTGCTGCTCGTCATCAGCGGCTTGAAATGTCACCATTACCATAGTGACCGCGGCTCGAGCTGGAGCAGCGAGGCCGAAGCTCACGACGACACGAGATTTCTATACGATTCTTGGTCAAAACTGCGAGCCGCGGCTCGACCTGTTTCCCGTATTTTGCATTGTTTTGCACGCGAGAATTTTATAATCAAATTTTAACTCGTTTCACAAACCACAACACAAGGATTTTTTATATTTTGCGCACTTGCGCGCAGGCAGGTAAAATGATCATCTCTTGACTGCGTATAAGATCATTTCTACCGAAATGTCCGATCTGGATCATTTTTGTTATGCGACGTTGCCATGGAAATCATGGCGTAATCCTTTCCCATTTAGCGCAAAATGGAATAACATCACCTAAGAATCTCAACAGCAAAAGGTAAGCAGCGGCAAACACACATCTTCACTAGTTATGGATGAAGGGGTGGATCGACAAGTCGACTTACGCGGATCGAAAACGCACACCTGGTACTCCAGGCCATTTTCCAAGTGGCCCGTCTCTTTGTAAATCAAATCTCTGAACTCCAAAATACAGCGCATCTCGTGGGTGCTGGCACGGCGACCTATCTTCTCCTGGCAAAACGCGTCGGTCTTTGAAGGGTGGTCCAATGCTTGGTACGGATAGTGGACCATTGTAACACCACCCGCCTTATTAGCTTGCTCGCAGAAGTATTCCCCTGTCAGGCAGATAGGAAGGCAAGGAGCAAAAAAAGAACAAAAATTAGCACACAAACAACACATTAAGCATAGAAGTAATCCCATGGAAATGAAGCAACTACCCACGCCTGTAAGGGGTTAATGAGCAGCCACAGAGTGTGATAACAGGGCACAATACTGACGGGCTACTGAGATATTCAAGCTAGAGCTACATCTCAGGTCGTGGAATGTCTCAGTAGCATGTCAGTGTTGTGCCCTGTTATCGTAATTTAAAACTGCTTACTAACTTGTTACAGTCGTCGATAGTTGCTTCATAACTCGTTTCCATGTGATTCCTTCTATTGTATTTATATTCACTGGTTCAGTATCAAACAATACAACCAGCAATAAATCAAACAAGCAATAATTCCAACTATTGAAAACCATAGATCAACAATACACTGTTCAACACCCTACGCAACCATAGATAAGCAATGCACTGTTCAACACCCTACACAACCATAGATCAGCAATGCACTGTTCAATACCCCACACAACCATGGCACATGCCGCGTAGGCCGCTCACCACACCGACTAAAAACACGCTGCTTAAATATATCTGATGGGTCTCTGTCATGGCAAACATTCGGGGTTACGTCATTTAAGCGTTGTAATGCACACAGGCAGGATTCAAGCAGGTCTCTTTCTGCGCAACTGCAGCTCATTTGTATGCACTACGCCACTTCACGCCTCGGGCCTACACCCAATATGATGTAATCGCGGAATTTCTCCGTGACAGACAACCATGCAGAAAAGGTCAGAAGCTGCACGTGTGCAATCGAATGTCACGAGTATGGCGTGATGTTTGTGTGTGTGTGTGTGTTTGTGTGTGTGTGTGTGTGCCTGACAGTATAATAGGGAGTAGGGATTCACTGGCCAGAAGAAGCCACTTCATAGCTATAGACCAGGCTGAATAGTGGCGGTCAATTCTTCAGCCTCGCGAGCTGTTGAATGGTGCAATCCCAGCACAAGCTGCTATGCTTCTGCTGTAGCATCGCTATCATCGCCTCCGGCGATGGCCGCTAATGGTCAAATGGTATGACAGTACACATGCCTGAAGAAGCACGCACAGCCAGCCTAGTCCAAACATCGGTACCGATATTGTAAGGCGGTGCAGGAGCCAGAAGTATTTTTTTAACTTCTCGGACCGCTGCCCCTTCATAGATTCACTAAAACAAGAAATTCTGATCAACACATGTGTTCGGCTTACTGAAATTGAAAGCACAAGCCACAGTGGCCACTAGTTTGGCGGTCCGGCCTGCTCTTTTGCTCTCATGCAATGTGTAGCTAGCTGAAATCACGTTGAGTGGTTGGTCCTCAAAGTCTTCTATCCAGGGCCTGGCTCCTTTAGCAGGCGATGTGCTCGTCGCAACATGCAGAGCGTGATTCAGGCAATCGCCCTCATCACTTCCAGCCGGTAAGCGCCCGCCTAGGCGTCCGCACTGTTCTTTCGCTTGTGTATACGTTCCGGTATTGGCGTACACGGCAATGTGAGCTCTAGTTTTATTACACGTGTAGCTGACCTCTGCACACAGAAAATAGCACATATTCACACATACAGAGAAACGGTGAGCCCGGAAGACAGAGAGAGAGAGAGAGAGAGAGAGAGAAATAAGGAGAAATGGCGAGTAAAAAGAGAAGGACAGAGAGCAAGAAAGAAAGCAAGCAAGAGACAGAGGAAGTGGGAGAGTGGAAGGACAGAAGGAGCTAGAAATGCTGCAAGCAAAGATGTATAACAATTCCTCCTATTTCCCACTGACCATACGAACATTGAAGAGAACTGCCCTAGCGTGTACACACACACACACACACAAATGTAGATGCACAAAACACACGTATAAGCTGGCTGTGAACGCACAGAAATCATGTGCGTGTTTCTTCGGCTGTGGGAAAAAAGGACCAGGCTTACCCGGTTCAACTTCACACACAACCGTGAGCTTGGGCGCTGGTTGAGATGCTAGATTATATGCTTTCCCGTCACTGGCAGTCTGCAACACCCCTCTCTTCTGGGCCAACCAGGCAACGCTGTCAGTGGGCCGAAGATAGTCCTGCACGCACGAGACCTTAGACGCGATATGTGCATTGAACTTCTGGCAATGAGCGGTTGCATCAGCGAAAGTCATCTCCACGGAGAAATACTTTATGATTGTTGATGGGTGGTACGGACATCGTATTTCCGCTGTTCAGTCAGAATTTGAACACAAACATATGCATGCGCACACAGACACACACACACACACACACACACATACCACAAACATCCATTTTGCAGTATCTTTGGAATGATATAAACCAGCTTCTTATTCCCGTAGCTATCCCAATTTCGGTTAGTAAATTAGTTTATTTGTAACTGACAATTTCGGTTAGTAAATTAGTTTATTCCCGTAGCTATGCAGAAGACGTTACTTCAGTAACGTCTGGCGCTAGCCAAGGTCCACACAGCTTTAATTTGGTATTTGTTTGTTTGTTTGTGTCACGCCTGGCCCTATCCCGTATCTATTCCGTACCGTACCATCAAACACAGCTGGCCACAATATTTACTGGCTCCCGTATCTGTCCCGTACCGTGCCGTACCATGAAACACAGCTGGCCACAATATTCGTCGTATTATGTATACGACTCCTTGATGTATCCGGAGACTTTCTGGAAAGAAATAGGGAGACGAGGAGGAAATGCAATTAGAATGGACGTTAGTTGCCGAATAGGTGATAGGATGCGTCAGCAAAAATATACTTTGGAAGAGAGATCCCGCTTTCTCCAAAATAAGCGTGAACGGTCGAGTCAGCGCCGGTCACAGGAAACATCGGAAGAGAGAACCCGTCGACTCCAGAACGCCCGTGATCGGCAGAGCCAGCGCCGGTCCCAGGAAACGTCAGGACAGACATCCCGTCGACACCAGAACGCCCGTGATCGGCAGAGCCAGCGCTGGTCCCAGGAAACGTCAGGACAGACATCCCGTCGACTCCAGAACGCCCGTGATCGGCAGAGCCAGCGCCGGTCCCAGGAAACGTCAGGACAGACATCCCGTCGACTCCAGAACGCCCGTGATCGGCAGAGTCAGCGCCGGTCCCAGGAAACGTCAGGACAGACATCCTGTCGACTCCAGAACATAGCAATAGCCAAACAACTAGTGAATGGTAAATCACACACCACGACATCCATCAGAGATAGCTAGCATACTACAGAACTTTTTTTAATAATACCAAGAATAGTCTTATCGGAGCAAGAGCACAAGCAACTGTATGGGAAGTAAACAAGTATACAATACAGTGTGCAGCAGGTAATGGTACGGTACGTGCGCGTTGCCTCTTGCCTAGCACTTCTTTCTTCTCCTCCTCTTTTCCTTCCTCAGTTTACGTCAGATCTGTCTGACATGAGGCTTCAACTCCATAGGAGTTGTGAAGAGCGACTGGGATGACCGGGATGAAATGAACACTTTTTTGTGTGGATATTTGTTTTCGCTGGGATACGATACGTACGTTCAAAGTGAGTGAGATCCTGGTAACACGAAGGTGGATCAGGCCACACCAGTTGAGAACGTACTGGACGCTGTACAAGCCATACACTTGCGGTCTGTTCATACCAATACTTGATGGCACTAAACAGAGAGTAGAACGCTCGGGACCCAGAGACTTTTCGTAGTACTTGAAATGAAAGAAAAACTGGACAAGAGCACGTACAGCTTCTTTCCGTCCTGCTCGGCAAACCGGCAGGAACTCACGCCTCGGATTATCTTCGAAATCCGGCAGAAACATTGTTACCGCTTCAACATCACTCTCGAATAACAGGGCACCCCAGCAAAGTCTGCTCTCATTTGGTTCTTTTCGGTCTAGAGCCAAAACAGCCGTTGGATCTGCGAGATGAGTGGAACAAAGCATATGATAGTAAAATACTTCACAGAATCTTCACAGCTCCAGAAATGCGAGGCCCTCCTCGCAAGCAGCTAAATCCATGACGAACGAAGACCTCAGTTAACCCAAATGTATCAGCACTTTCAACGGCTACACATCAATTTGGAAAAGAGGAAACTGTATAACCAGACAAAATGTGACCTATTTTTCTGTGACCTAGTCCGCTCCAATCTCCTGGCCCTCATCAGGCTGCGCTTCTACCAGGGGCACCTCAGGGGTCCTTCAGGTTCCTTAGAGTATGTCCACAGTTGTAAAGCTTGGAAATGTCGACCAAACATCGTTCTTCATCACCAGAAAATTCAAACAACTAAGATCTTCAAATGCAGAGAATTTGAATACTAATCACACGTGACGTCATCAAAACCATCAAAAGAGGAGACAAACTTGGCCCTCCCTGGCTTCAAATATCGACTGTTTGGGTCTAGTTTTCGCGATTCCCCATTCTTTGGGGGCCATATAAAACCCCCATGAAGAGAACACACCACCGAAAATATTCCCGGAGTGCCCCTTTAACCCATTGAACGCTGATGACATCTGACGTCATTGAAAATGCCCCCCCCCCCCCCCGCACATGCGCGGATGGCGTTTACAGATCTCATGGAATTTATCGTGATTTCTGGCACTGTACAGTACTGCCGGGTGTCGAAGAACTGGAGGGTCAGGGTTCTAGCCTAGCCCGTTCTTATTTCTAGCAAACACAGCAGTTTCGTTCTTATTTGATGGTACAGTCTTACATGTACATTTATGCAGAGTTATACATCCGAGCGTACATTACCGTAAAACCGAAAAGTCCAACGAGTCACAAAGTCTAACGTTTTAACGACCAATTATTTTTCGTTATTTGAAGAAAACGTTATCGCTAGATGACTGTTTAAGATGTGCATACAGATGGGTGGCCAGGTAGCCATCGTTAAACGTTCTGGACGTAATCATGCCAAAAGTGCAAAAACGTTTCAAATTTTTGGTCGTTAGACTTTATGGTTTTAGAGAATAGTAATTACGGCTTCCACTCTTAACTGCAAAACATTCAGCCTATTATAGACCGTTCTTAAATATTAGTGAAATTCTAGCCAGGCCGTTCTTTGGCGCCAGTCAGTACTGCATGGTGTGTAAAAGCACTGTTAGTCAGTTGGATCGCGATCTTGCCTCTTGTACGATAGGTCGCGGATACGAATCCCGCTTGGAACACTACTTGTCTTTTTTTCTTCTCTTTTGAGCGATCTTTCAGCTGCAATTGCGCGCATTTTAATAGCGTATTTCACGCAATTTGGGCTAACTTGCGTCCCCTGTTGTGCTGCGCTATTTTTTGGGAACTGTATCTGTTACCCTGTGGTTCATCGTCTTGGTCAAAATTTCCCCAAAAAATCAAGGTCCCCAGTTGCCAGAATCCTGGAGTTTTAGAACTTGCTATTGGCCCTGTTTTCTAGCATTTATATGCAGAGTACCATAGGCAAGGCCCAGTGGCGCTGAATGGATTAAAAGCAAGTTGCGCAGTCAATATACACCACTCGCACAGGTCAGGTGTACTCAAATGTTTTTGTTGCCATGTCTGTCTCCATGACAACTGCTAAATAGCTGCTGTACTTACATATACTTGGCGAGGCATCCAGCAACAAGGCTGCACATACAGAAGAGCAGAATATACACGTTATAGCAAAGAAAAAGGGAGCAAGAAACTACAAGTTACCCTATAATGTCACTAACACCACCGGTTACTAAACAATCCGCTCATGCGATGACATTGCACGACACTGACTGACGGTACTGACGTTCTTAAACTAACTGGCTAACAGCTCTACATGAACTTCAGTGAATGAATTGGCATGCATAGATGAGAGGTTGGAGGGGGGGGGGGGGGCTTCCAGTCATCATGTACAACATGACTAGGCAGAATGTCTACAGTCCCTGCAAAGTCCGCTAAATTGCGGAATGAAAACAAGAATTTCAATGCAGTGGAGATTGGATATAACGACACTCCTTCGGGAGAGAACAAAATGTCACTATATTCGATCTGTCACTAAACCCGATCTTCACAAAGGACTTACTAAACGACTTGGGCAACAGAAGTGTGTGGCTAAACTCAATCTGTCGTCAGATGCAAAGTCGTTATATCCGATGTCCACCGTATCTCCCTTATCGCGTTTCAACCCACCTACTCAAACCCTTGAAACAAACGTGTATCGGGAGTGCAATGCAGCCAGCTTAGCTGAAAGGCCAGCAGCATGCGCTGAGGGACTAGAGCTCAGAGAACCCAAACTGCTCCCCTGTTTGTCACAAAGAGTCTACTCGTTGAAGTCCTCACCCACCCACACACACACACTGACAGCATCAGCACCTCTTAGCATTAGGCACAAATGCAGCAATGACTGGGAATCACAGAGCAGCTGTACTCACGAGTGCAGGCAGTGAGCATCAGGAAAAGTACAGTCGTTAGTCCATGTCGGCGAGCCATATTGCTGGAAACAAGAGAGAGAGAGAGAGAGAGAGAGAGAGAGAGAGAGAGAGAGAGAGAGAGAGAGAGAGAGAGAGAGAGAGAGAGAGAGAGAGAGAGAGAGAGAGAGAGAGAGAGAGAGAGAGAGAGAGAGAGAGAGAGAGAGAGAGAGAGAGAGAGAGAGAGAGAGAGAGCAAGGAGATACACATACACACACACAGGGTTTGGACAAGTCAAAAATATTGATGAGATTGGCTGGACCATTGGAGCATAGCGGCGGGACGTCCATCGTACTCTACAGATCCTACAGTCCATTTCAAAACTATAGACGCGTACCTAGGCAAAAACCGTTATGCCAGCATTTATACCACATAAAATCTGTGATCACTTTGTGCATAATTTTTTCCAAATTGGGCGTCTGTTATCCAATCGTTTAGAAACTATATGAGAGTGATTGTGGAGCGGTTCGGAGCAATATTCCGAAAACTATTCTCAAAAAGTTCCAGCCAAATTTGAAATATTTCAAAAACCCTACGCGTCTATAGTTTTCAAATGGACTGCAGATAGGCGGCTGGTCATCGTTTTGAATTGTGCTGGGACACTTGCACTTACAGTCCATTCAACGGAAACATTCCCTCTGGCTTTTGAAAGCCCTATTTGGGCCGAATAGGGGGTCGAAACCCATTTTAAATCTCAAAAAGCTGGGTTTGGGATCTGCTTCTCCACACATTTTGCCATGAAATACCGGTGCTAATTTTTATGAAACCTGGCTGAATTTCTTTTTCCCTGTTCTTGGACTCTTCTGGCCTCAAATGTGGCAAGGGGTCATGC